GCTATCATACACAATTATATAGAAAATGCTTAGAAGACACCAGAAATACTAATCCAATGAGGGTAAGAGGTATTTTTGTAAGTAAATGTTGACTCGTTGCTATTAAGAAATCCATAATTTGCAGCCTTCCTTTCTATAAAAATCCACTCCCAGTTAGACCTCGACTTATATTGGTACTCAGGACTTCATGGAAAGAAGAGTGAGTGCTACCAATATGCTGATAAGCATGCATAACATGTATGTTAGTTGACTGTCAAATTTTTATAGATTTCTCATTCTTTTCAGCCTTGAGTGATTTGATTGGGACTTACAGGGTTACAACAATCGGTGCTTATACAATTACACCGTCAATTGGCTCACATTTTATTTTGTACTTGGCAAAAATGCAACTACTTTTAGAAGAGAAAACATATATATCAGGTTCAAATATTTATATCATTACTCCACATTGAACATACTAGCATTAGCTTTCAATTAACTTCAGGTTTCGATTTCAAACTTTTTTGGAGTGCTACGATTTTTTTTATATAAGGTTTTATTTTGGAGGAAGTTTGGATTCCTTCTATTTCCCATTTTGATAGGGAAAGGGAAATTTTGGGTAACTTCTTCGATTTCCTGTGCACGTTGTTGAAGATTTGAAATTATTTTATGATTTTTTTAGTTCAACAACGCACTGTTCGGGATTCTAATACGGACAAATCTACTCTACTCAACTTTAAAGGTTCAATTCCAGAATTCTCTTTAGTGTTGTTGAGTTGAAATTTGAACAACTGGGAAGAGTTTCTTAGGTTGGTTTTTTTTCCTGGTTTTGATTGCTAGTTTGTGGAGTCGAATATTATTGGTAGAAGTTCTTTTTTGTTGTTGCAGGAGAGAGAAAAAACTATATATGTATACTTCATTGTTGCTGCTAGAGATTCCCTGCCTCTTGATTCCATTGCCCGATTGATAGTTGGGATAATTGTCACAGATGTTGATGACAGCCACCTCACATCACAACTACAAGTCACCCTTTCGTTAAGGTTTTTACGACAAGTGTAATAATATGCTTCTCTTAACATGTAAATATCCTTAATGCTTAGCAAAATGATACTGGAGTGTCCAAATTTTTGAACCTGTGGCCCTTTCTGTTGTTCTCTGATGGATGCCTAGCATAGAGAATATGATTATTGGTACTTGTGTGTAAATTTGTCATCTATATAATGCAATATTTCGACACGCTAATATTACCTTCAAAATAACACCGCCCGTGCATTGCACGGGCAAACGACTAGTAATATGTAAAAAGGGTGAAGGCCCCGACAATATGAAACATTCTGAAATCAAATGAAGACATAATAATGTATGAAATCAATTAAAACATTGATTATTTTTACATTTACTTATCAAAATTGTGTTCGATTATTGATACACAAAATTGTGTATCAAAATTGTGCTAGATAATTGAGATTGGATTTTTTAGTTGCAAATTTACTTCATTAACTATAAATTAAAAACTATGTCTCAACACCTCATACAAAATTAATCTTTTGCTCAACATTGGTCTTGTGATTTTGGGGGTCTAAGGCGAATTTCATAAATTAGGCCTCGAATAATTCGAAGATTTTAACTAATATAATCTAACCTGTGCATTAAACTTTTTTCAATCAGAGGTTCACAGCAACCATTAGATAAATCATAAATCCCTAAAACATAATTAATCATACCAAGTAGCATTAGCTATTGGAACCAAATTTGTTAACACCAAAAGGAAGCTCATTTTGCATGGCATGATAAAAGCGACGTGCTAAAAAAGTTTACACAGACAAGCTTTAATTTTTAATCATTGCATCTTAAACCATACACCTTATTTTTGCTTAAGGAATATAAAGTAAAACAATTAATTTGTCACGGTTACAATTCTAGGAACATGCAAAAACACTAATGAACATAGTAAGCATACTGGCTCTCTAACTATATGCTCACTACTTCAATGTTAATTTTGTTGCAACCACCTTAAT